TATTGGACTGTTTATCTTCTTTTTGTTAAGTTGTATGAGTTCCCTGTAAATGTTGGAGATTAAACCTTTATCAGTGATAACATTAGAAAATATGTTCTCCCATGCAGTGGGCTTTCTTGTTGTTTTGTTGATGGTTTCTTTTGCTGTGCAAAAGCTTTTTATTGTGGTCCCATTTGTTTATTTTCTCTTTAGTTTCCATTGCCCTAGGAGAATTATCAGTGACGAAATTGCTTCAGCATCCGTCTGAGATTTTGCTGCCTGTGGATTCCTCTAGTATTTTTATGGTTTCCCGTCTTAGGTTTAAGTCCTTAATCTATTTTGAGTTTATTTTTGTGTATGGTGTAAGTTGGTGGTCTAGTTTCATTTTTTTGCATTTATTTGGTCAATTTTCCCAACACCATTTATTGAAGAGACTGTCTTGACTCCATTGTATGTTCATGCCTCCTTTGTCTAATATTAATTGAGCATAGTGGTTTGGGTCAATTCCTGGGTTCTCTATTGTATTCCATTGATCTATATATCTGTTCTTGTGCCAGTATCAGGCAGTTTTGAGAACAATGGCTTTGTAATGCAGCTTGATATCTGGTATTGAGATCCCACCTACTTTGTTCTTCTTTCTCAGGATTGCTGCAGCTATTCAGGGTCTTTTTTTAATTCCAGATGAATTTTTGGAAAGTTTGTTCTAGGTCTGTGAAATATGCCATTCGTATTTTAATGGGGATTTGCATTGAATCAATAGATTGCTTTGGGTAGTATGGACATTTTGATGATGTTGATTCTACCAATCCATGAGCACAGTATGTTCTTCCATCTGTTTATGTCTTCCTCTATCTTTTTTTTCAGTGTCCTGTAGTTTTCCACATATAGGTCTTTTACCTCCTTAGTTAAGTTTATTCCTAGGTATCTTAATTTTTTTGATGTGATGGAAAATGGGATTCCTTTTTAAGTCTCTCTTTCTGTAAGTTCATTATTGGTGTATAGAAATGCCATAGATTTCTTGGCATTAATTTTGTATCCTGCTACATTGCCAAATTCATTTATTAAGTCTAATAATTTTTTGATGGAGTCTTTAGGGTTTTCTATGTACAGTATTATGTCATCTGCAAATAAGAACAGTTTTACTTCTTCTTTTCCAATTTGGATGCCTTTTATTTCTTCTTCTTGTCTGATCACAATGGCTAGTACTTCCAATACTATGTCGAACAGGAGTGGTGAAAGTGGACATACCTGTCTTGTTCCTGTTCTTAGGGGAAATGATTTTAGTTTTTGCCCATTGAGTATGATGTTGGCTGTGGGTTTTTCATATATGGCTTTTATTATGTTGAGGTATGATCCTTCTATTCCCACCTTGCTGAGAGTTTTTATCAAGAAAGGGTGTTGGGTTTTGTCAAATGCTTTTTCTGCATCAATTGATATGACTCTGTGATTTTTTATCTCTCAATTTATTTATGTGATATATCACATTTATTGATTTGCGGGTATTGTACCATCCTTGCATCCCTGGGATAAATCCTACTTGGTCATGGTGTATGATCTTTCTGATGTACTGCTGGATCCTATTTGCTAGGATTTTGTTGAGGATTTTGGAATCTATCTTCATGAGGGATATTGACCTGTAATTCTCTTTCATTGTATTGTCTTTATCTGGTTTTGGTATTAGGGTGATGCTGGCTTCATAGAATGAGCTTAGAAGTGGTCCTTCCTCTTGAATTTTTTGGAATAGTATGAAGAGGATAGATTTTACAATCATAGTAGGGGACTTTAATATACCATTGACATCACTGGATAAATCCTCTAGACAAAAAATCAGCAAAGAAACAGCAATCCTAAATGACTCACTAGATCAGATGAACTTAATTGACATCTTCAGAGCATTTCACCCCAAAGCCTTGGCATATACGTTCTTCTCAAGTGCACATGGGACATTTTCAAAAATAGTCCACATAATTGGTCACAAGCAAAGTCTCCCCAAATTAAAGAAGATTTAATTCATATCAAGCATTTTCTCAGACAACAATGGCATAATATTAGAAATACACTACAATAAAAACAATCCAAAAAAATTCAAACACTTGGAAGCTGAATAGCATGCTATTAAACAACGATTGGGTTACTAAAAGAGATCAAAGAAGAAATTAAAAATATCATGGAAACTAATGACAATAAAAGCACAACAATCCAAAATCTATGAGACACAATGAAAGCAGTCCTGAGAGGGAAGTTTATAGCTCTACAGGCCTACCTCAAAAAACAAAAAAAAAAAAAAAAAAAAAAAAAACACAAGAAAAAATGGCAATAAATCATCTAACTCTACAACTCAAAGAATTAGAAATAGAACAACAAAAAAAGCCCAGAGTGAGCAGAAGGAAGGAGATAATAAAGATCAGAGCAGAAATGAATGACATAGAGACCAAAAAAACAAAAAAACAAAACAAAACAATAAAAAGTATCAATGAAACCAAGTGCTGGTTCTTTGAAAGGATAAACAAGATTGGTGAACCTCTAGCCAGGCTCATCAAGAAGCAAAGAGAGAGGACCCAAATAAACAAAATCAGAAATGAAAGAGGTTAAATAACACCAGACCCCACAGAAATACAAAGGATTGTTAAAAAAAAAATACTATGAACAACTCTATTCCAACAAACTAGACAACCTGGAGGAAATGGACATATTTCTAGAAAAATACAACCTTCCAAACTCAATCAGGAATATTCTAAAAATCTCAATAGGCCGATAACTAAGGAAGAAATTGAAGCAGTCATAAAAAAGCTTCCAGCTATCATTCTTATTTGTATAGTCCACCTCCAGTAGACTCTCAGCTCCTGGAGAGAAGGAGCTGTAACCTGCTCCTTTTTTAAGCCTGTGTGCTTGAAACAGTGCCTAGTTGATGGAAGGTGCAATATACATTTGAGGAGGTCTGAGAGACAGGGATACTAGTACATTTGTCTTATTTCTGTGCTTTAACTAGATTTCTTAGTTTGGGTTTCTGTTTAAAAGTACATTTCCCTGAAAATGGAAGACAAAAAGGGTTATAATCATTTGTTCCTATGTAGTTATATTTCACATTTCTCTATGCATAGTTTATCATGGAAAGAATATACATTACAGAGTCTAAGAAACACTGCTAGAAAATTCACTGATTTCATTTAGTATGTGTTTGTGATTATAAATGAATATGTATATTTTAATGGTTGTCACGGTAACCCATTTATGTAGAAAAATGTATTTTATCAATTATATCTTCTAGATATAAAAAGTACTGAAAAATACATTGGTCGAGTAAAATTCCCAATTTACCCCTCCTTTTTAAAGTACTATGACTCCCCAAGTGTGCATATAAGATAAATTTTTTATTTAGAATACAGGCTAAGTTCTTCGGATATTTAAAGAAAAAATTTACAATTGTGAAGACCCAAAAATCAAATATTGAATATGAATAGTTTTTTACAACAGTTGAGAGAGAGAGAAAGAGAGAGAGAGAATATGTGTGGGGGTGGGACAATTAGCAGGATTGGAGCTATGGAAGCAATGCCTGTTGCTTTAGTAGACCTCAGGTTTACGTTGAATGTCTGGGGGTTTCTCCTCATTCAGCACTGAGCTAATGAATAGCATCAGTAAAAAAATTTGTCAGACCCTGTGGTTACTATCAGGAGTTATATAGGAAAATAGTAATGAACCCTAGGAAAAGAAATAAGGGTAAGTTCAGGAAACATAACTAAAAATGCCACATTGGTATAAATTGAATAATAAAATTCCTAGTCATATTTTGCCATAAATAGAGGTTTGAGAAATTGTCACTCACCTCATTTAAAATTCAGAAATATTAAGGGTACAGGGTTCTCTCATTATAGAAATAATAGAATTCCAGCTATTACTGAGTTAGGGTCATTTAAATGGCTATAGCATGTACTATACCAATAAGTGGAACATCTGTATGAAATGTCCACCTGCTGATCTACTACCACTCTATGCACATTTCAATGAACCGCACTGAATCATTTTAGGACTTCTAATGAAGCCTTATCTAGATTAACATTTTAAGCACAAATACTTTCAGGCATTAAAAGTCTCACACTAAATGAAATTGCATTGTCTTGTTTACCCTTGTTGATTAATAAGCAATCTGTTAACTATTAGAACAGTCCGATTGTGGCAGTAGCAGGAGATTAGTAATGCAGCAATGTTTGATATAATCATCATTTCTCCTAAAGGCTTTGAATTAGAATATCACTTATATCCTATCCGTAGGCAACAAAAAGATATAATATTTTTAGACATGTGTGCACTATTTTGCTTGAATCATTCAGCTTAGGGTCACTACAGCAATACAAATGCTTCTGGGGGCAAAATGCTATTTTGATGCATGCATATCCTTCTTAAATAGTGTGAATATTTATTAAAAGGAAACAGAGCCAACAAATAGTGCAGTAATAATCCAGTATTCTAATTTCTGTTTTCAGAACATTACTGCTTTGTTAGTCAAGCTTCTGCAGAGCAATGTTGCTTATCTTCTTTTGTCAAATAATAGATGTCATATATAAAAATTCTTTACAATCTTATTTAACTTATACCCAGCCAGCAGGAAACTAAAATTTTGGCCCCCAAAATATGAGAGTAAATGTGGAAAAATTTTTCTATTTGGAGAACTTCTGTCTTTTGTGTTTCCTGGGACTTTGAATCAAAGCATTTAATCTGTTTGGCATTCATCTAACCCAATGATTTATTTTATTAAATTATAAATCACCTAGCTGTTAAGGTGGGACCCAACATTTTAGATGAAGAAATCAGTGAAAAAGGGAAGAGGATTGGGATGCAGCTAAATTGCTTGGCATTAGTTGGCTGTCTATAAGAGACCTCCATCTAAAAGCGACTCCAGAGTCCTCCTTGTTCACTTGTTCATAGCTGAGCATGTCACTACAATGATGGTGGCAGAGTGGGTTTCATGTCCTAGAAGACTCTGCCCTGTGAACACTCATGGCTCGGCCCCCTCTGTGTTGCAGTCGCTCTGTGGGGAAATCAAGCAGCGGCGGCGTGGAGTGGCCTCCATCCTGCGGTTATGCCAGCACCTTCTGGATGGTGGGGAGGCCTGCAACCTGAGCGCGGACCACCAGCCCATGCAGCTGATCATCGTGAATCTCGAGAGGAGGTGGGAAGCCATTGTCATGCAAGCCGTCCAGTGGCAAACACGGCTACAAAAGAAGATGGGAACGGAGTCGGTGAGTGAATTTTTTTTTTTTTAAGTATAATGATCTCTCATTTTTCTCAGACAATATTCTTTCAGGGCTTAGAATATGTGTTCATTTTGCTAATTAAAGGGATAGCTATCTCCAACCACTAAATTAAACTCCATTTATCATAACACAGATTTATTCACCTAATACGATGCATTTTAGTGTATCTTGTGGTATTTTTTTAAAAATCACATGGATGTTTTGCTTAACCTTAGCAAACAAAGCCATCAAATCTTTTCATCATTTCTTCACCAACAATATTACTTAACTAGAGGCCCGGTGCACAAATTCGTGCACCAGTGGGTTCTCTCAGCCTGGCCTGCGGGTTCAGGCCGAAACCAGCTCTCCAACATCCTCTGAGGGATCCCTGATTGTGAGAGGGTTCAGGCCAGGCCGAGGGACCCCACCAGTGCACAATCAGGGCCAGGGAGGGACATTGGGAGGGCTCCAGGGCATGTCCAGCCCATCTCGCTCAGTCCGAATTGGCCGGACCCCAGTAGCAAGCTAATCTACCAGTCGGAGAGTCTGCCCCCTGGTGGTCAGTGCACATCATAGTGAGTGGTTGAGTGACCTTAGCATATCATTACCATATTATGCTTTGATTGGTTGAACAGACGACTGGACAACGGGACACTTAACATATTAGGCTTTTATTATATAGGACCATAAAATACACATGAAAATTTTCCTCAAAGGTGGCTTACCATTCTCAGAGCATCTGGAGCAATGTGTATGTTCCACAGATAAGGCCATGTAATAACGTGTACTATCTACCTTTTTGTTATATGATATGTTAATATTTGTACAACAATCTCCATTGTTCCTGCTTGGAGCTTCTCCTGATAGAGTTGTATTGCTGAGAAGTAGCATGTTTCCTCTTAAGAGTTTTAATGCAGTGCTTATGGTAAGGAAAATTTTAAGAATTTTCCAAATTTGCTATGATTCAAGCTGTTGCTAGATGAAGAAAATATATATAACTAGAATTGTTTTATTACAATATAGAATATGTACTTGTCCAGAAAACCTTTATATCCTTAAGGTAAAGGGTTTTGTGATAAAAAGATTGCATTCCCCAAATGACCTTGAAGTCAATATCTATTACTTGAAGGCCCAATTGTTATGTTTGGCCTATGTACATGAAATACAAATATACATGCATACATAAATGATAGAATGGAAAGTGTTTCTTGAATGTTTATATCATCAGTTCTATGTGTTTGGAAAGTTCAGTATTCAAAATTGAAAATCAGATGTAATAATCTTTTCTGAAAAACAGGCCTCTCCTATGAATTATAATTTCAACAAAGTCTTAATTTGTAGTCTGATGTCTCTGGCATTGGGGACTGGGAACAGAAGAGACAATGAATCAGGAAGCCTTCTCTCTCTTTTATTTTAAAACATATATTTATAAAGTACTAGAGGCCCAGTGCACAAAAATTTGTGCACTCGGGGTCCCTCAGCCCGGCCTGTACCCTCTTGCAGTCCAGGACCCCTAGGGGGATGTCCACCTACTGGCTTAGGCCTGCTCCCCAGGGGATTGGGCCTAAGCTGGCAGACAGACATCCCTCTGGCAGCCCAGGAGCCCTTGGGGAAGTCCACTTGCCAGTGGGGAGCAGGCTTAAGCTTCAGTCGGACATCCTTAGCACTGCTGAGGAGGCGGGAGAGGCTCCCGCCACCACTGCTTGCTGGCAGCTGGCAGCCTGGCTTGTGGCTGAGCAGAGCTCCCCTTGTGGGAGCACACTGACCACCAGGAGGCATCTCCTGTATTGGGCGTCTTCCCCCTGGTGGTCAGTGTGTGTCATAGTGACCAGTCATTCCCAGTTGTTATGCTATTAGGGTCAATTTGCATATTACCCTTTTATTATATAGGATAGAGGCCTGGTGCATGGGTGGGGGCCGGCTGGTTTGCCCTGAAGGGTGTCCTGGATCAGGGTGGGGGTCCCATTGGGGTTCCTGGCCAGCCTGGGTGAGGGGCTTAGGGCCATTTTCAGGCTGGTCAAGCCACCCAGTGGGGACCCTCACCCCATGGGGGTGTGGCCAGCCTGGGTGAGGGGCTGAGGGCCATTTTCAGGCTGGCCATACTCCCTTCAGGGTGGGGGTCCCCACTGGGGTGCCTGGCCAGCCTGGGTGAGGGGCTGATGGCTGTTTGCAGGCTGGTCACACCTCCTTCAGAGTAGGGGTCCCCACTGGGGTGCCTGGTCAGCCTGGGTGAGGGGCTGATGGCTATTTTCAGTCTGGTCACCCCCTTCAGGGTGGGCGTCCCCACTGGGGTGCCTGGCCAGCCTTGGTGAGTGGCTGATGGCCATTTTCAGGCTGGCCATGCCTATGAGCTGGAAGCAGGTATCTGGGATTTATTTATCTTCTATAATTGAAACTTTGTAGCCTTGAGCGGAGCTCAGGTCAGCCAGAGCAGGCAGGAAGCTTGGCTTCCTCCATTGTCAGGGCAACTCACACCTCCTGCTCACTCCAGCTCCGTGGCTGCCACCATCTTTCTGATGGAGTGACGGAGTGAGGGAGTGATGGTTAATTTGCATATTACCCTTCTTTTTAGATAGGATATTTCAGAAAAGAAGGGAGAAGGACAGAGAGATAGAAACATCAATGATGACAGAGAATCACTGATTGGCCACCTCCTGCATGCCCCCCACCAGGAATCGAACTGTGACTTCCTAGTTCATAGGTCAATACTCAACCACTGAGCCATGCTGGCTGGGCAAGCCTTCTCACTCTTTTTGCATTTATAGCTATGTTGAGTCTAGGGGATGATTTTATCAACAGTTCAGTTTAATTGTTGTAAGCTGAAGTTGTTAAATTTCTTGAGACTTCCAAGTTATTACCAGTAATTAGAATCCATATAATTGGATGCCTTTTATTTTTAAATGACCTGTTTGTTGTGAAGCTATTTACCTGGAATCTTTTCTTCTTTATGTGTTTGGAAGGGCAGAAGAGGTTATTTTTTATGCTATAGTTTGAAGCCTCTAAGCATGGTAGTGGCCTTAATAAAACTTACACAAAAACCTACTGCACCTTGAGAAACTGACATTTTGGAAGCATTACAACTACTTTGAGGAGAACAAAAAGTGGGTTTCTTTGGGGATTTACTTGAAATCAGATGATCAGGGATGCTGGACTAGATTTCTTCAGACTAGATGCAGAGATTTTCATCCTACTTCTTTTGCTTTGAAACCCTGGCTGCTTCTTAGAGGTTCAAGCTATTGCATAGGAGTAGATGTAAATTGCAGATAGATAAAAGTCTCCCCATTCTTTGCATTGGCTGCTGAATGTGTAGATTGTTTGGAAAGATGAAGATAGCAAATGAGGTCCACTGTAAACCATATTGAAAAAGGAATCACTGTCGAGAAATAAATAGAAGAGTAGAGAGTGGCACTAATGCAATAATACAATGAGCATAGTGTACCTCATTAATTTGGAAATATTTCTTGCTTGCTTCTGATCTCTGTTGGTTGTCTAATGAGTCTAAGTTGCTTTGATGAGCAGACACATATTTCACCAATATGGGAGGCTGCCTTTGCAGAAAAACAGGTGCTTCTAAGTGGTCTTTCGTTTGTTCATCATATGTCCCACCTCTATGTCATCCCCTTTTGTGCACAGGGACTTGCACTGCTATATTTCTAGGGCGTGGGACGTACTTACATGTAATGGATATTTGATAGATACTTGCTAAATGAATGAGTACTTGCTTTCATTTAATATATTTTGTTTCAATCTGGTATTTGATTTGAGTTACTGTATCTACATTAATTCTCAATGTTTATATTCTCACAAAATGGCTTTCAGTGTTATGTTTCTATAAGACTATTTTACTTTCATGAGACCACCACGAAGATGCCTTTTAACCTTTCTTTTCTGATAGGGACACTGTTCCAAGTTCTAAAATATGGTGTAAAGTATCCCATGGTATACTCTCTGTTCTCAAAAGTAATTTCTGAAGGAAATTCTGTATGAGGTATTAGATAAGGTGGTTCTAAAAATGTGGGTTAGGTTAGAGTAGAGGCTTTGGTTCTCACTATGTTATAGGATTCTTTTCATTACAACCTTCTTTATTACTCCTAACTGGGTAACTAATGAATATATTTATCTTGTCTCTAAAAATTGCAAGAAAGCAAGAGGTCTTGTATTAAATTCTGGAGATCAAAACAGACAAAGCCCAAAAGCATCTTTCTCCTTTATCATCAAGATTTGAAATTGCATAATTGACACTATGCTTTGTTCTTCCAACACTCGATCTCTTTGCTCAGATTTACTTTTATTTTGTTTAGAATTGATCTTTGTCTATACTTTTTAAGCTTTAATTCTAATTTTCATTTCACTCATGTTTGTTTGTTTGATTGTTTTAATTTCTAGTCTCCTTCCTTATTTCTTTGTGAGCAAATAAGCTTGAACTTTGTCCCTTTGATTTCTTTCTCTGAAACAAATTATCAGTTACACAAACAAGAGACAAACATCCCTAGAGATTCTGTGAATATTTAAAGGAAATATTATGAATAATAAAGATCAGAACAGAAATTATTCAAATTGAAAACAGAAAAATCAATTAAATAAAAGCTGTTTTTTTTAGATCAATGAAATTGATATACCTCTAGCAAGACTGTTCAGAAAACTACAGACCAGTATCCCTGGTCTGTAGATAAAAATATTCTTAACAAATGAAAATAGATAAAAATATTCTTAACAAATTTTATCAAATTAAATTAGCAACATATTATATATATATATATATATATATATATATACTAGAGGCCCAATGCACGAAGATTCGTGCAAGAATAGGCCTTCCTTCCCCTAGCTGCCGGCACCGCCTTCACTCTGGCCAGAGCCGCTTTCTGCCTCTCACCTTGTCACGTCAATTTGCATATTCCCTCCTCATTGGCTGTGAGTGCCTCCATCTTTATCGTGAAGTGATGGTTAATTTTCATATTACTCTTTTATTAGATAGGATATATATTATAGCATATGAGGTTTTT